CAGGACATATATAACTACATTTTGTAACAACAATATGTATAAGAGTAATTGGAACAATTTGATCCAGGGTGTGGAGATGGATAGGTTTAGTGGTGGAAATTGGATTCAGGGGGTGGATATGGGTAGGTTTAGGGGTGGAAATGGGTAGGTTTAGGGGTGGAAATGGGATCAAGGGGGTGGAGATGGGTAGGTTTAGTGGTCGAAATGGGATCTAGGGGGTGGAGATGGGTAGGTTTAGGGGTGGAAATGGGATCAAGGGGGTGGAGATGGGTAGGTTTAGTGGTCGAAATGGGATCTAGGGGGAATGTCCTGTTACACATTTGTATTTACACATACCATTCAGTGGGTTGTTACATATGTGTAGTTACACAAACATTACAGCTGTATATACTATGTACCAATGTGTACTTGTATGTATGTTCACATTTAGTTACTATGTAAGTACACAGGTATTAGGGCCACAATATAAAGTGGGACCAGTAAATGTAAGAATGACTCGTATATTGTTAATAATATTTAACACTTACTGGACTGATGTAATTTTGGTTAACGTGACTGTCCTTACATTTTTTTCTCGTCTTGTTAAAAATCTTTAAATGTATCAAATATGATGCTTTTGAGAGGAAGGTTTAGCTGTACATCTCTCAATCATTATTTTACCGCATTTCATTATGCACAATAAAAACTACACAGCTGTGACCATTAAACTAAGCAATTTAATATCATCTTACTAAAACATTATTGGGAGATATAAAGTAACAACTGATATGCATTTTAGTCTGCTATACTGTTATAAAGATCTCACTGATTTACACTACAAGCTATCAGAATTTCATCTTTTTGGCCATAAAAACATACTTTTTTTTCTCACAGTATTTTAATAAACTGTTCCATATAAATAAATAAACAAACATAAATAAGACTATTATTTCTTAAGTCGGGCTTTACAGGACTGTAAATAATGCACAATAAATTTCATTCACAATAGATTATTTATAATTAGATTGTCTCTACTAGACTGTACAGATCTTTACTGGCTAGATCTGATTTTCATTTTATTGTTCATCAAAATGACTTCATAGCTCCATATTCAACAATACTCACCTCTGAGATGGTGAATCTGACAGCTACAGGTTGCTGAAGCATCAAACTAATAACCAATATGCTTACAACAGAATGTAATGAAACATATCAAATGTTAATAAAACACAGGAATGCATTTTTAAATGATTTTCTCACCTGCTTTTGGTGACGTTTATGCCCTGAGCACTGATTAATTTCCTTCCCGGTCAACTGAGACTGGTTTTCTTTTAGCCATCCTGAAATATAACCTCCGACTTACCTCTCTTAAAAGTACAGTACATGGAATGCACCAGCATCATTTTATTAATGCCAAGGTTACATTGCTACAGGTCAGCACTGAGCTGGACATCTGTCAGCCAGTATTACTATCACAATCCTAATGAAAAGCAGAGGTGAAGGGCAGTCCCATTATATCAGCAATCAGCGGCCAGACGTCCCGATCTGTGTCTTATTGCAGTTATCATTGCATACATAATCACAGGCAAATTATCACGACAAATGTCAAAAGAAATGAACAGTACTGACACATTGTGCTTGGCATTTACTACACAAATATTATCACAATATATATGTACATATATAAAATCTGGGTGCAAAAATCTGAAACCACTTTGATTGGGAAATAAAGGCTTAAAAATTAAATAACTGAAGACAAAATATAATTAATACAATGAAATTCAAATAATACAAAAATTTGATATAAAATGAAAATAAATATTTAAAGGGGGCATAACACACACAGTTTCACCCAATCTCATTTTAATCTTGAGTACCTATAGAGTAGTACTGCATCCTACATATCTCCAAAAAGTCTTTAGTTTTATCATACTTATAAAAGAAAGATACAGCTTTACGATTCTCTCCGGAAAAAGCCGAGCTCCTGGAGGCGCGCCGTGGGCGGAGCTAAAGAGTGACGAGCACTTGCGTGCTGAATGCCGACAAAAGCGACATTTGATGCGGTTTCACTTACCGTCTGCAGTTCCAGATCATGACCGGGTTCTTTTATAGCTGGGACCGCTCCATCTTTCAGTATCAAACGATGTGCAAATCCAGCTCGAACTGGGCCTTGTTTATAAAACGTTCGTCAACAAACACACTTGTGAAACTCCGTTGCTGCTCCGGAAAAACAAACTGTATCCACTGTTTACATAACGCTGGGTTCTTTAGGAAGCTGAACAATGTTATCTTTCCCTTACAACCAAAAACACACTTCTTTGGATTGGAGACATTTTTCCCGAGCTAGTCCCGTGCAGCGCTGCAGCCGGATGAAGCGCGTTGATGGGCGCGATGTGGCTCTAGCTCTTGCTCTGGTCGATGCGTGCACGGGCACGATCTCTCTTCTGGGAGAAATGCCCATATAAGGAGTTCCACCCTCGTTTACGTCATTAAGAGCCACGATTGAAAAAAACTCTCCGAAACGTGTACGAACCCGGAAGTAAGATTTTTGGCACAGAAATACTCTGTGTCGAAACTTTGTCCATGCTTAGCATAAGAATCCAACTCTTTAACAGTGTAAACAACTCTGGATGCATGAAACAGCATTGTACCCCCCTTTTAAGATACTACTAATTCCAGGTCACTAATCAAGTAAATTTGTGACATTGATCATGGGAGCAAATACTAACACTTTCTGAAAATCATGGACAATTTTTGCACTCAAATTGTGATGATAAAATAATTTGCAATGAAAAAAAGTTGAAAAATTATGAATAAAAAGCGAAACATTTTCACTTGTGGTCTCAGATATTTGAAGCCCATAATATGAAATGCCCACACTGACTGATTACATCCAATTGACTACATCATTTGAAGAGTCATTAATTGTATTTTTCAAACATGTTATTTATATTAGCAAACCAGATTTGAATGTGTCATTCATCAAGGAGATGAAAAAGACTAGGGACTATGGGGGAAAAAATAATTAATCAAATTACACAACAGTGAACATGTTTTAATACAATTTATCAAACAAATCTCCTACACAAATAAATGAACTCAACAAAAAAATGTACAGTAGAAACAACATAATTAAAAAAGTATCTGAAAATAAATATGAAGCTGATTTATGTGATATGGATGCACTTCACTAAACATTTAATAATGAGCAATAATGATTAATGAAAAGTAATATACAGTATAAATTCATGAAGAAATCATTGAAATATATTATTTTATTCAAAATGTAGTATCTTTATGTACAGACTCTCATACATAAATACATTTATACAATGGACGATGAAATTCCACAGCCAAATAAAGAATTCTCAGTCAATGGAAATTGTTCTCTCTTGATTTCTAAAAATAATGTACCAAATATTGTACCTAGCTCTCTTAGTGCCTCCTTCAGCTCATAAAATACAACTAGTATTGCAACCTGGCAGGTAAACATTAAATACACTATGGAGAATATCAATATTCAATGATCTATACATTATTGCATTATCAGAGAGCTGCAGATGATTACAGTCTCGTGACAAATAAGGATATCACCGAGAGATGAAAGGCCCACGGTTTTCCTATTACACAGTTTGTTTCATGATGAAAACAGGTTGAATCTACTTATATGACGAAAAGAGGAACCTGAACACGTGTGAAGAGAAATGTTGTGTTTCCTGTTAAAATGGAAAGAGTGGGCATCACCGAAGTACTGGTGACTGAGCTTATTGACTACACCATACAAGACAGCACACAGGTCAAAAACTGCATCACAGGCTCCCTGACAACATCAAGCCGTTGAATGAACACGTACTGTCCTACGGTAAGATCTGGGATGGTTTCCGACAGCGCCTCAATACATGTGCTTGTCTGGAGTTGGTTGGTTGGTTGAGTTGAAAAGGAAGACCATGATAATTCAAGTCTTTCAGGAAGCAGTTCAACATTTTTTCAAATGCAAAAGCCCTCACAAAGACGACATCCTTCCTGGGTTTTGTGACAGTGAGGACAGTTGAGGATACAGATTTAATAAATACACCACTGTTTCAAGATCTGCACTTCGGCATACAGCCGTAGCATGGCATAGTTCGAGAAACAACCGTTCCGATGTGGGCGCTCACTCAGTAAGGCGCAAATAAGATGGAGCCCGTGGTGGGTCGGATCGGTCCCGGAGCGGCGCGGAGAAAGGAGTGCGGAAGCGAGGCCGTCTGAAAGATGGAGGTGTTGGGACGAGCGTGGAGGGAGATGGACGGGACTGTGGTGGGGCAGAAGGGTGTGGAGAGAAAAGCCGGTGAAAGGGGCTTCACCAAGTCGTTCTGCAGGGCGAGTTTGGCCTGGAGGAAAAAGACAAATCACTGAACCACTTTGGCGGATATGTATGTCAATAATGAAATCAGTGCTGCACAATTAATCGAAAGGAAATTGATTTTATGGCCTAGTGCAAATAATAAACCACAAAAGCCTGAGTCGTAATTAAAAACTGAGACTGAGTGATGCAATTTTTTACAATATATACCATATATTTGTGAAAAGAACAATATTAATAGTTTAATACTTTAAAAATAATAATTACTATTTGATTACTGTTGCTATAATTATTATTATTTATAGCTATTTTAATTGTTTACTGATGATAATAATAATAATAATAATAATAATAATAATAATAATAATCATATAATGAAAAAATGTATTGGAACTATAAATACACATAATTTTAGTTTAAATATATTACTATAATAATAATAATCATTATTATTATTATAGCTTATAATTAGAATTATTAATTATTATTATAATTATTACTTATTATTATTTACTGATAATAGCCACAACAACAACAACAATAATTTATATAATATTAATTTTAAAAAGTTAAAGTTGTTGTTATGTGTAAAGTATTAAAATATGTCTAAAGGCCCGTTCACACCAAGCACGATAACTATAAAGATATAGTTCTAAAAATCGTTCTCAATATTAAAGAATAGCAGAGTCCACACTACAACTATAACTATAAAGGCACAGAGAAACGATACCGTTGGAATCATTTTCAGAACGACAGCCAATCAGAATCCATCCTGCTGTAACGAGCTCGAGAATTTAAAGCGGCAGATGCACGTGCGCTTAGAATAAACAGACGATATCGTTCGCTGGTGTGGACGCTAATATCGTTATCTTTATAGTTATCGTTCTTGGTGTGAACGGGGCTTAAGTCTATAGTGTAAGTCTATGGATAGTTGATATGGATGTGTAAGTTTGGATAGTTTTAAATGGGATTTATATAAATTACCTATAAATATTGTAAACAGAGAACAGGGAACACTTAAAAGAAAGGAAAAAAAAGAAAAGAAAATCATTCCTGTGTGACATTCTGTGAAGCCTGTCTGAGCTAGCGACAGTAAAGGGAGGCGGAGTTTAGAGAACTGTTCTACAAACAGTAAGTTGTTTCAAACATATTTTGCATATAATTTGAAAAATGCCAAGCGAGCGTTGAGTCCTTGTGAAGCTTTAGCATCCCAAAGAGGCATTTGTTAGCCTAGAAAGTGCGCAACAAACTCCTCACAGCATTGATACTTGAGATGCGAGTAACACTTGATGAAAGCGCTTGATTATGAAGAGCATAAATAATGCATTACTGCCAGAGAGCTGGAGCTCCGCTGCTGCTTGTTGTAAGGGCTGTATTTGGGTTTGGTGGGTTTGCCTGCCACTCTGTCCTTGTGCCGCCTACTGGAGATATGCTGTGAAGAAAACAGAATTCATTACCATTGTAATGCAACCGAAACCCATTTGTGACCAAACCTAACACTGAACCAAATGATCAAAGCCTAAACTGCATAACATGAAGTACAACATGCAAATTGGGTAAGATCAAGCCACAGAATCACATTACTATTTATAGTGCTTTCATTATTCATCACTGTACGCGTTACGTCTAGTTGTCAACTGCATAAATAATGATCATGCCAAATGCAACCAAAGATGCATTCAAACTGAACTGAATACCTGCTTAAGCTGGATTTCTGAGTTGACGTGGACATCACAGATTTCACAATGAAACGTCTTGTTCTGTAAGCCTGAGCCTTTGTTAAGTTGTGTGGCCTGAACTTTGAGTTTGGACCCGGGTCTGGGGTACGATTTAATGGGTCCAGCTCCATTTCGTGCCTCCAGCATTGTTTTGTGCTTTGAACCTGATGAAACAGACAAAGCAGGATGTTTTCTCTGGCTTAACAAGGGGAAAAGAAACTAATCTGTTTATTCAATGCAAACTGTAAGGCTTTGGTTGTTAGAAGTTCATTTCTTACACTGGTTATTTAAGTCATTAGAGTTTGATTCATTTCCATGGATCAGTTTAAAATTACACTACTGTTCAAAAGTTTAGGGGGTCTGTGAGATTTTATTTTGAGGAAAGATTATAATAATAACTAAACTTTTATTCTGCAAAGACCCATTAAACTAATCAAAAGTAACAGTAAAGATATGTATAATGTTACAAAAAATTTCAAATGTATTCTATTTCAAATGAATGCTGTTCTTTTGAACTTTCTACTCATCAAAGAATACTGAAATTATAGTTTTCACAAAAATATTAAGCAGGAACTGTTTTCAAAATGGATAATAATAATAAATGCTTCTTGAGCACCAAATTAGCATACTAAAATGATTTCTAAAGGATCATGCGACACTGAAGACTGGAGTAATGAAGCTGAAAATTCAGCTTTGCATCACAGGAATAAATGACATTTTATATAATATAAAATATATTCAAATAGAAAACAGTTATTTTAAATTGCAATAATATTTCATAATATTACATATTTTTTCTGTATTTTTGATCAAATACATGTAGCATTGGTGAGCAGAAGAGACTCTTTCAAAAACAATAAATATCGACCCCAAACTTTTGAACTCGTGTATGTTTCAATTATACACTTTTGTATGACTGATTCAATGTTATTCAATGATTGTTGTTTATTACTGTATGTAATTCTTATAGAATTCTTCTTAATGTTCACTTAGCAAAAAACAGTGGGAAAAAGATTTTACTGCATTTTTCTTGCATTTTTTAAATCAACTTGCCAAAAATGGATGTTTGGTTGAAATACCATTTCTTCTGATTTAAAAAAAGCCTTTTAAGCCATTTCAGAGCAAATATGAAAATATTGAAATATATAGTGAATGTCATCAAAAGCATGACAAATATGAATATATTAATACTAGTCTGACTGCAGCACACATATCTGAACATATTCCTCCCAGTGTGTCTGGATAATGTTTCTAAGCATTAAAAAAGACAATTTATTGCAGATGAAATATTTTAAAGCTGAGCATAACTAGATGAAATGCATATCGACTACATAAATGCCCATGACTTTTTAATAGTTGATTAGTTTCCATGACTTTTCCAGGCTTAGAAATTGCCTTTTTAAAAATCCACAATATCTCCAAATTTTCCATGACCGTGGGAACCCCGTCTACAGTTCCCAGTTCTTCATACATTATCAATGATGATCCTCACATTGCTAGGCTGGTTTTGATTTATGTCTTAACTGCAAGTACATTTCCACACTCCCAAACCCCGGAGGGTCCCTCTATGAAACATTTATGATAAAGAAGAACGCATAACCATGGGAAAGACATTGCGATGCAGAGGCAGATGTTGGCCACACCTGTGTTGTGTGCCTCCAGCTGTGAGAGGGAGTTGACAACCACTTTGCACAGCGAACAGTACAGGAGCTTCTTGGCTTTCTCCTCCTCGGTCTCCGCGCTGGGCTCTGATGGGGCTGTTGGCAGCGCTGCTGGTTTGGAGGTGTTCTTCAGGGCCGCTGCATGTCCTGTCGGCTCAGTGGGTGGGCTGGCATGCGTGGGTGCCGTCTTGCAAGGGTTGGGCACTAATGCCACTGCAGGCGCAGCAGGAGCTGGCACAAAGGCTTGCGGGGAGGCAGGGACTTTGTGCGCAGCCAGTGGCTCTTCACTTTTCTCTGGGAACATGAGAGAGAGAGAAAGAAACAAGGAAAGAGCAGATCTGACAGTTAGTGGTGAAGGGCTCAGCATGTTGTATTGTGCACTGGCACATTTTTCTACTCCTTCCTGTCTATTTTTTCCAGCATTGTGGGTTTGATATAAGGCCGTTCATTGCAAGGCACGTGCTCTAGTTTCTACATCAGATGACTTAGGTGAAGAAGCAAGAACAGTGTCTACGTCAATAAAGAAATTAGGGCTACACAATTAATTGAAAAGAAAACTGATTTTGTGGCCTAGTGCGATTAATAAACCACAAAAGGCTGAGATGGAATTAAATATATATAGTCTATATGCACACATTCTTCTGAGGTTTTATGGATCGTTTTTTTTAAACCCCCCCCAAAAATAGTGAACTATAAGCAGAAACTCAAATGCCTTCCTTCAGTTCACCAAAATAAAAGCTTAGAAGGTTAAAAGGTATAATTAGACTTGAGTGAATGCATAGAATAATAATAATAATAATAACAACAACACAGCGGTACAGCGATGGCGCCGCAGACGGCAGCCTCAGTGTTTGGCTCTCCAGTGTTTGTATTGTTTTTGTTAGTTTTTCCTGTTTTTTGTTTCTCAAACACGATCAGGGATGGATAACAAATTCCTTGTATGTGCAAACATACTTGGCAATAAAGCTCTTTCTGAACACATTCTTCAGCTCTATAGTCAACATGCATCATGTACTTTTGAGGTTTAATGGATATTTTTAAAATAAAAAATAATAAAAGCTTGAAGGTTAAATTAGATTTGCATATAAATGCATATAATAATAATAAATTATTATTTTAACACTTTTCAAATAAGTAATAATTTCTTTATTATTATTACACATTTTTCAGCTCTATAGTCTACATGCAACATGTACTTTTGAGATTTAATGAATTTAATGGATTTTTATTTATTTTTTAAATAAGAAGCATATTAAAACAGTCAACCATAACCTTAAACTTCTTCCTTCCTTTCACCAAAATAGAAGCTTGAGGGTTTAAAAGCATGTTGTAGTAGTTGTAGTAATAATAATAATAATAGGTTTAAAAGGTTTAAAAGCATGTTGTAGTAGTTGTAGTAATAATAATAATAATAATAATAATAATAATAATAATAATAGTTATTATTATACTTCACAAATATTATTATTTTTAATAGATTATTTTTTTATATTTTTTTTTAACTCCTTCCTGTTATTATTTTTTTCTTAACCAATTTGTGTGGTTGGGTTTGATAAGGCCCTTCACTGCAGGCAAGTGCTCTAGTTTCTATGTCAGATGAGTTACACAGGGTCAGGCTCCCTTCTAACGCCGCAGTGACTGCTCGGGTCCGGCATGCTGTAATGTGATAAGATGTGACCCCGGGATCGCCCATCACCCTTACGCCCTTGTCATTGCGTTACATGCCGCTGGAGGCCCTAAAAGCACTTGATGTCGAATGCCTGTACTCTCCACCCACTCTCTAACAGGCCTCTGAGGGAATACTTCGCTGGTTTATATGAATGTCACTCTCTGCTCGTGCTTTTTTTTCTCTCCCGGAGGACTCAAAGCAGCCAGAACAGTCTAATGTTCCCTCGTACAGTGACATTACACCCGCTGACACTAACCTGAACCTCTAGGCTGGAACTGCTGCTCTTTTGCATTTTTGTTTCTCTATCCAAGTTTGAGTTTATATTCAAATCTACCAAAGCATGGTAGGTAGACGTGGAGACATATGCCTCTTTGGTCTTGTTCTCAATATCTTTGCGGTGAGTCATAAAGAACGTATTGTAGCTGAATAAGAAAATAGATCAGAGATAAAGTACAACTATTTGGCAAACTTTTCAAAACTAACAGAAATCATAGGCTCTGTTTCAAAACCTAGTAAGCTTCCTCATTGCTTACACAGGCAGCTGCCTTTTAAGCCAGTTTGGACCACCTAATATACAGTAAGCAGCAACTCTTCATAAAAATCGAAAGCATAGAAAGACAGCAGCACACACAAATATTGGCTACAACAGTCAATTTTTAATTAGATTAAACTTTTTAATTTAATTAATAGTATTAGGTATTAAATTTAATTTAACTGAATTATATTTGGAATATTTATAAGTCAAACAGTAGCTCAAACATTAGAACATGGTGCTAGCAAGGTAAGGCGGCAAGGTAATGGGTTTGTTTCCCAGGAAATGCATAAAATAAAATTAAATAAAATAATCTTGAATTATAGCTCGTAATAGAACGGCAGAAACATTATAGTTCTAAAGTTTGGGGTTGGTACATTTTTTTTAATGTTTTTGAACGTTTCTTATGCTCACCAAGGCTGCATTTATTTACAGTAAATAAATACAGTAAAAACAGTAATATTGTGAAATACATTAATTTTTTTTATTTTTTTTAAAGTGCTCTATTTTAATAATTTTACATTTTAATTTTATTCTGTGATGGCAAAGCTGAATTTTCAGGAGCCATTATCAGTGTCACATGATCTTTCAAAAATAAAATTCCAAAATGCTCAAGAAACAATTATTATTATTAATGTTAAAAACAGTTGTGCTGCTTAATATTTTGATGGAAATGGTGATGCATTTTTTTTTTTTACAGGATTCTATGATAAACGGTAAGTTCAAAAGATCAGCATTTATTTGAAACTGACATTTTTGTCTTTACTGTCACCATTCAAATTGGTAGTGTATAATTCCGACTTAGAATTTGGCTAAGAAAAACTCTCTACCCTTTGGAACAAGAGTGTGCCTATAATGCCTTAAAATACAGCCTACGTAGGCAGCTTCCTAGGTTTTGGAACAGAGCCACAGTGATAACAATTGGCATTTGTTGTTTGGACGCAGATCAAGCAGCGACCGCAATATTGAAACGACCTTGCTCTATCTTTTCTGAGAAAGTCAGTGAGTGCGGAACATTTCTTGGATCTTAAAACAACACAGAGCAATTACCGTGTGCACACACACCCCGTGCACACATAATCCAACACACGGAGTTCTGAAACATTACATAAAGCGGGCTCTTATGTAAAACACTGGAGCTAGCAATTTTAATGATTTAGTGCTTGAAGTTTTCCCATGTAAACTAAATCTGACTGCATTGTGCGTTGCCAGGGCTCGGGGAGAGACGGCAACAGCAGCCCCCTCCCGAGTCTCGGTCCGAGCTCAACGTCACGTTACTATGACGGTGTGACAGCGAGGACCCATAAGCCATCTGTGAATCAGGCTGACATTCATTTGGCCTGATTTGTGCAAAGACACTGCATCAATGAGGACCACCACTGCCTAAATAAATGAGGCGTACCCAAATCTGTATCCAGCTAGAGACCGAGCGAATTCGGAAAGTATGCACTGGCTCGGATTTGCACCCCGTAGGGCATGTGTCTTGATGCATCCCGGTCTCGATTCTTAATCAGACACAAGGGCCTGAAATTGAGTGGGTCACAGCGTGAAGCAAAGATCAGATGATTATGTTCTTTGAAATGTAACACAAATCTAATTCAGTCAAATCAAAGGCCAGGGAGGAAGAAAAAGAAAAGAAAACAACAGCATCCCAGCACGCATCAGACCTGTTCCAATTCTGTATGCGTTTTCCATAATTAAACATTTAAACGCAACACAAAAATAGACAAAAAGATCATGTGCGGGAAACTCAATAGGCAGGTCATGATGAAACAAGCAAACAGAGCTGCAGGAAAGTGATCTGTTGTTAGCATGATAAAGCATATGGGTGATTACTGCCGCAGCAGGGCTGCACCTTACCTCGCCACACGAGCAACGAGCACGTTTTTGAGCTTGATGGATGGCCCCGGTCATCCTAAATTGGCTTTTACGAGGAAAAATATGACTACATACAGTACACACAAACACAAGCACAAAGATGGAGCGTAAACAGGGTTTGGGGGTTAGAGTGTTGGAGAGAAAAGCATGGGAGTAAACACACATGGAGAGGGCAGGAGTGGAGAAAGAGGACGGGACAGGTGATGTGGAGCAAGAACAAAAGGAGCTATTAACCTGGTTGGTCAGAGCAGCTGGCAGTGATTGCAGTGCAGGAGGAAGTGACGGTGGTGGTGATTGTCTTAGCGCCGCTGTCCTGGGCGGCTGCACTTTTCTGCTTATTTTTCGTGGACTCCTGTGCTTTGAGCTTCTTGGCATGTTTAGTGCCTTTGTAGTGCGCCTCGGCTTGGCTCTACAAAGGAAAACAAATGAACCATCCAATCAGGCTCATTTCTCACACTACCATCTAGGACTGCAATCTCACA